TCCGCAGCTAGGGACTTGGCACCCCCACACCTGGGAGTTGGGGAGGTGGTTCCTGCCCAACCTTCCCCAGAGCACAAGAGCTGGGGGGGGTATGACAGCCCCTGCCCCGGAGCCCCCTGGCTGGCACTGGGATGTGCTGCCCCCCAGACCACCTGGAATTATGGGCTGTTCTCCCCACCTGCGCTCCCGCCCGGACCCCCATGGACACAGACCAGGCTGCCAGGTGGCCACTGTTACTTTATTAGGTCACACGTGCCCGCTGGCGGGGGGCAGGCGCCTACTTCTGGGCTGGGACCATGTCGTCGATGGCCTGGCCCTTTTCCAGCTTCTTCTCCATCTCCACCATGAGCTTGACGCCGTCCACCACCATCTGCACCTGCTCCACCTCGGAGAAGCCCAGGCGGTCGGCATTGGAGATGTCGAAGACGGCACCTACGGCCTCGGTGTCCACGCCACCTGGGGGGCACAGCGCCATGCAGCTGAGCCCAGACCCCACTGCAGCGGAGCGGCCCCACCAGCCTCCTGGCCCCACCGCGCTAGCCTGGCCTCTCTGCCCACAGCTGCCAGGCCCCTAGAGACCCCATACAGCACCCATGGCCCAGCGCATTTCCTGCCCTCCCCCCCCCACCTCACAGCTGCCTAGTTGCCCCCCACTCCTGGCGTCCAGGCTGCGCGCTCCAGGTCTCACCCAGAGCCTCTCAGACGCCCCTCAGCGCAGCACACCGGCTTGAGGGCACCCCAGGGGCTGAGGGTAGCAGGACATGGCTCTGCCTGGGGGATGGGCAGGGTCCCACCGCAGGCACACACAGCCCCTGCGGGGCTCAGCCCTGCTCTCTCCCCACCTGTAACCCCAGCCCTACCCCTGCTCCCCACATCTGTGTCCCCTGCCCCAACTCTGTGCCCCCACCTGAGTGTTCTCCCCCAACCCTATGCCCCCCACCCTCATCAGTAACCCCAGCCCTACTCCCACACATACCTGTAGCCCCATCTATACTCCCTAGAACCCAAGCCCCCAGTAAACCCACACCTACTTGTGCCTCTAATCCTGCCCCCCCCATACCCCAGCCCCACCCTACACCCACTTGTGGCCCCCGCCCCTCACCTGTGCCGCGCTTCTGCAGCCGCAGCCTCTTGAGGGTCTCCTCAAACTTGGGGTGCTTGCTGAGATGGGGGAGCTTGACATGGACCCCGCCCCGCAGGCCGGTGCCCAGGTTGGAGGGGCAGGTCAGCACGTAGCCCAGGTGCTCGTTCCACATGAAGGGGTGGCCGGCCTTCTTAAAGATCTCCTCGATCTGCCGGGTAGGGAGAGAGCCTGTCAGCCCAGCGCCCCCCAGCCAGGGTCAGGTCACGCCCCCCCGCCCTCCCAGCCAGCGTCAGGCCA